GGTTTTGACCTTAGGCTTAGTCTTGACATCAGGTTAAGTTCACTACAGAGGAAAGGATTTGAAAATCTTAAACCCACAATTTGAAGAGGCTTAGTCCGAAGTAAAGACGGGCAGAGGTTCACCGCTCTGCAAAAATTGAGTCTAAAAATAGTGACACGATTTCAGAATGCTGTTCCTCGACGGACAACTGTGAAAACTTTAAATATCCCATCATCAGTTCATATCACAAACTTGTTTCAAGAATCTGGAGAAATATCTGAGCTCAATGGACAAGACTGACCGTCAGTACTGACAGGCCTTGTTGCACGTGTTGACGTCACGTGCACGTGCAGCACTGACAGGAGCTCCGCTTCGACTCGCTCTTTTTTTTGTTCCTGTTGTTTTCGTTTTCACTTTTTGTGTGTCTACACTGCACACCCACGCTACGGGTATGACTTATGTCGCTGCCTTGCCATCATGCCATTGCGGTTCAGTTCCCGGCCTACTTCCAGCCTCGGGCTCAGGGTCCGGCCTGTCATGGCGGCCGTCTCCATGATCCTCCATCTGCCTGCACGGACCCAACTCTACAGAAGAGTTCGGTTCCGCGAGGAAACCTTGGATGTTCTGTGTCTGCTGGACCCAGTTCTGGAGGACAGTCGTCGTCTGTTGCTGTGGTCGTTATGCTGCTAATGCTAACGGTACCGCGTTGCTAACAGAACCATGCTGCTAAAAGAACCTCACTGCCATCAGAACCACTCTGCTAATAGGACCATGCTGCTGTAGATGTACTTCTTTTTCACTTTTGGCGCCTTGTTTTTGTATTTTTGTTGCATGCTTGGTGTTTCTGGTCATTGTGTTTTTGGCGAGTCGAGATGGTTTTTCTCATCCTGAGCATTTTATTGCATTGTTGGCCTTGTGTTTATTTGCATATGACAATAAACCGAAACCTCAGACAGCACTGCATCAAAACCAGGTCTGATTCTGTTACAGACATCACTACATGGATCTGGAACACTTCCACAAATCATTGTTTGTACTGTAAACACAATTCACCACATTATCCACAAAGGATGGTTAAAGTTTGATCATGCGAAGAAGTCATACGTGGACATCATTCAGAAACTCTGCCTTCTTCTCTGGACTAAAGCTCATTTAAAACAAACAGAGGCAAAGTGAAATACTCTGGTCAGACAAATCAAAATGTGAAATTCTGTTTGGAAACCACGGATGCGACATCTCCGTACTAGAGAGGTGACGGAACCACCCAGTCTGTTACCAGCACACAGTTCAAAAGCCTGCCTCTCTGATGGTATGGGTGTGCATTAGTGCTTCTGGCATGGACAGCTTACACATCTAGGAAGGTACCACCGATGCAGAAAAATATAAAAGTTTTTGAACAATGTATGCTCCAGTACTGTTGAATAGTTAAGTTAAAATCCTACATCAGACCAAGATGGGACAACGTCCTCCCCCAAAACCTCCAGCAGCTGCTCCTCTCAGTTCCTGGACGTTTACAGATTGTTGTTAAAATAAAAGGCTGGTGCTTCAGTGGTAGACGTGGCACTGTTCCAACATTTTTGAGATAAATCACAGCCATCAATTTTTTTTTTTCTCCAAACAATATTACAATTAATACATTTTAAAATGTGACGTTTTCTTATCTTCCAATGTAAATCAATTGTGGGTTCATGATCTTTGCAAATCATTGCATTTTGTTTTTATCTACATTTTACACAAAGTTCCATCATTTTCTGAATTAGGGCTGTAGTTTATGTGGATAAGCAGCGTGTCTTGTCAGTTGGCACGCTGTAATGATTGCATAGTTTACAAGACACATTGAAGCTCCTGCTCATTTTACTTCGTTACTCAGAGCAAATGTCTTTGTTTCTGTTGCCATCAGCCACAAACGTGGGATTAAAACTGGAAGCTGCTGTCAGTAAGCAGATTCTTCCACACCCCGCCGCTGCTCTGGGACGTAACAGTCGGCGTTTACTAATGAGGAACCACCAGAGAAATAATCTTGCCTGTAGGTGTGTCCTGTGATCTCGTTGTACACCATCACACAGTCGATCAGACACTTGGCCAACAGGCCCGAGTTCTCGTGCACTCCCAGCTGCAGGGTGCTCAGCCTGCCCAGGTTCTTGCACTGAAACAAGAAGCAAAGTGAAAACAAATGGGCTCAAATGACATCAAAGTGTATCCAAATGGTAAAAACTTTTTTTAATTTTCATGCCACGTGACCAAACTAAATGTACTAAAACTTCTCAAGTTGCAACAAGCAGCCATGAGATTTTCTGAAATTGGTAACGAGAAAGGTTGAACTCAACCTAAAATCTGAAAGACTCAAAAGAAAAATCAAAGAAACAACAGAGAATTGCTCACATTATTAATATAAAATGCAAATAAAAGCCTCTGTTGAAGTCAAACTTCAGCTTCACAAATCTGATGCTTTATGGGAACATTGTTTAATTTGATGGCTTTAAAGTATAACATTATAGCTGCAATGAATAAAAAATAAAAACTAGTGTTAAATTCTAAGAAAGCATCACTCATGTCCAAATCAACTTTGGGCTTGAATTATGTGAAAGTTAAATTAAATGTGATGCTCTTTTTTCCTCCTTGCAGTAAACATATTTTGACCTGTCGTTCTGAAAAGCGGAGAGTACGAACCTGGAAGAAGATTTCCTGTGTGTTCTTTGAAACCTGCCTAACTCCTGAATCGCCCAGTTCTCCCGACACACACACCCAGGGGTTAACAGTTGCCATGGCGATGCTCAGCTTCTTCATGGGTATAATGACAACACGGTATGGAAAACCTGGGAACGCAGAGGACACCAACGGCATTTAGGTACACGCGAGCAGCACGACGAAGACACTTCAGTCTCAGAGTAAATAAAAGCTGGCGGTGAATTATTCCTGCTTTTGTTGATAAAACTGACAGAACTCACTGATGGAGGTGAAGGTGTGGGTAAAACAGATGTAGTCCACAGTGTTGAGGGACAACAGGTGGAACAAAAACTGTTCCCGTTCTTCCTCACAGAGCAGGAACGCATGTGGATTGTACAGCTGCCTGTTGGAGGGAACAGACTCCATCAGAAAAGCTGCAAAGTATCAAGTAAAGTAACGAACGGTGAGAATTCGGACCTGAGCAGCTCCTGGTTCGTCAGCAGCTCTTTGAGGTGCTGGGACAGCATTTTCTTCTCCAGAGCCAAATGGATCCAAGCTCTAGTCTGAGCCACCTCAGACAGATCGTCTCTCATGGTTTGGATGAACCTGGAGAGAACATGCAGGTGAGCACGAGTAAGACAAAAAAACAACAACTCTAAAACCGTGGTTTTGTTTACCGTCTGCTGCCAAACGTGACTAAAATATTTTTGGCCCTATGGTTTTTTTTTCTTTGTCTCTCTGTCTGCAAAATATTTCATGAACACTGTGCTGATTTTAATGAAACTCTCAAAAACTAAATCACTGGATGCTTTTGGAGTCAACCCAATTAAAGATGGCCGCCACAGCTAATCAACCGGCACAAACACAAAAATGGCCACAACTCTGCCAGTTTTACAGATACAGTGCATCTGGAACGTATTCACAGCACTTCACTTTTTCCACATTTTGAAAATGATGTGAAAATAAATATTCATAATATATAAATATAATAATGTGAAAATAAATTTGCAAAAATATCCAAAAATCTTTTCCCACATCGTCATAATGGGGTATTGTGTGTAGAATTTTGAGGAAAGAGATTCATTTAATACAGTTTGGAATAAGGCTGCAACAAACTGTGGACAAAGTGAAGTGCTGTGAATACTTTCCGGATGCACTGTACTTAGCTATTTTGTGTGTGGTAGCTGAGAGTCATCTTCAACACATTCTCTGAACGCTAACAGTTGACATCGCGCACAATTGCATGAGACTGAGAAAAAAGTCATTTGCAAGCTTTGACCAAAACTTCTATAATTCCAAGTTGTCTCATTTTATAAAATTAACTTAGTTGAAAACTTTGGCACGAGAGGCGGTGGGTGATATGCTTTTAGAAGGAACGCTGGGCATATCATTTCCTATGCTAACATTATTAAAATAATACACTTTTCTTTCCAACACCAGAGGATTTTTGTACTTTTTACCTCATGTCGTGTATTAAAGAGCCTCTCAGGAACAAATTGTCATCATCAGGCAGCTTCTGGTCCAAGCAGTTAGATCCTGAACAAGAAGCGAGTTCAAATGTTCAGCTGACTTTTTTAAACCTAATAATTTATAAAAGAAAATAAAACCTGTCGAGCTGTGGTCTGACCTGACGCATCAGCTGGAGCCTCTGCCTTCTCCTGGGCAGCCTGGTAGTGAAGCAGATGGGACCAAAGCGCCGACTTTCCCTGAATATAACAAATACAATTGTTAGCACACATTTCCAGAAGTTTATATTGGACGCCTCTTAGCCAGATTACCATATTTTTCACCGTATAAGTTGCACCTTTTTGCATAAATTTGCAAGTCCTGCGAATTATACACCAAAGCAACTAATATATGTTTTATTCCCCCCATATTTATAACCCAATTTTTGGCTGAGATTTGACCATTTCATTCATTCTGACATGGAAAATATTAAACATTACCATTTGCAGCCGCTAGAGGACCCTCGAGCATTATGGCAAGCCAAGTGTCTCATTAATAGGTAAAAGTGGCTATGAATGAGACACTTGGCTTGCCATAGATTCCACCTTCGTCTCGCTCTGTAACTCCTGGAGCAAACGTCAAATCAGCTTCATTTTGCCGCGTCACCCAGGCGATATGAAGCTGTTTTTACCATTAAAGTGAATTTATTAAGGAAATGTTAAACTGAGACACACTTTTGCTATAATGTTGAACAAACAAATAATTATTTTTAAGTGTTAATCTTGTTAAATTCTTGTTAAAGTCCTCCCATGCACGCTCCCACGGCCGCCATTTGGTAGCCAATTGATTTTTGGCACAACACTGGCTCACATTTCCAGGTGATCAGCGGTGACGCATAATAAATGCTACTTATACGGTGAAGCGATTTATGTATGTTTTTTTTTTTCACTTTATTAGACATATTTGGACTGGTGCGAGTGGCGGAAAGTACGGTATATGTCTGACCTGTTTCATCAGCAGACCGTGGCCCCAGGTTCTCTCAAGCAGATCACACAGGCCGCGGATAAGTGCGCTCTCCTGCAGACCTGTGATGCTGGCTTCTCCCTGACCCAGCTCCACACACTCCTTCCCCATCCTGTCCATCAACATCTGCTTGGTCTGAACGAAAAGAGAAGCCAGAATAAATAAAAAAAAGCTCTGCATTAACCTTGACTTGTTATGATAAAGTATTCAATGAGAGCTGTGCGTCTCACCTTCAGACGACATTCGCTCAACAGCCCATCAGCAAACTCTCTGTGAGTCTGAGACACGGCCTGCGGCGACGGGTCGAGCAGTTTAGACTGACGGATGGTTCTCCTTGTGAATGCATGCCTCTGTTAAATAAAAACAAGGTTATGCGTCAGTGATAAAAGGTTGTGTGTTCGTCAGTGAGTCTGAGTGAAGGAAGGTACCTGTTTGGGTTCATTGTCCACTCCTGAGTGATCAACAACAGTCGACCTCTTTGGTTCAGACCTGCGTGAAGCCGTGACACGACCAGACCACCTGGATGACACCGTTTAAATAAAATAACTATTTACGCTCTGTGCTCTCGTTTTGTTTTCACCACAATATTAACAGGTTAAGTTAAAGTTATTAAATGTCACAAATATGTGGATATTTTCTTAAAACCACTGAGGTTTGTGTCAAAGTGTCTGAGAATCAGGAGGTTTTCATTTGGACCAACAGCGGGAATCAAAGGCTCACTTGTGAGTGTTGTGCGCTTGTGCGAGCACGTCGGCTTGCAGCTTTGGGAAGTATCCTGGGTGGTGACGACCCTGGCCAATCCTCATGTCCAGCAGGTGAGGGTGCAGCGCTGTGTGGTCGGTCTTCAGCAGCCTGCGCTCAACGGCCTTAGCTGCAGACGACAGCACAGAAAGAAAAAAGTATTTTAAGTGTAATATTTAAGCATCTGTTCCACATTGTATGACTAGCTTGTCTTTTTCAATGAGTACCTGACTCGAGGAGCGTGGTGCACTTCCTGTAAGGACGGTTGCGCGAATCCTCGTCGCTCACGTCATACGGTCGCTCTCGATCTAAACGGCTGTCAAACAGCTGCTGTAGGGGCTCCCTGTCCACCCAGCGGGATATAATTTTCCCATCCACAAAGGACGAAAACATGGACGTCTCCAGAAACCGGGATAAAAAGTGCAAGTGGCTCGTAGGCTGAATCGAGAGGAATGAGCCCTGAAACAGAGTGAACACAATCAGATGAAATACCGGAGAGTAAAAACATAAGTGCATTAGTTTAATTAGATCTGGCAGTTAGTTATCAACTGAGCTACCTTATCAAAGCTGCAGGTTCCCTCTCGGTTGCTCAACCAGGAGTCCAAATTTGCTGCGCTGTGGACGATAAACTCCTCATACCTGCCAAAAATGGCAGCAAAGCGAACAGCAAACACCTCTCTCAGCTGAATATTCAGCTTAGAAGCCTTCAGCTCCTCCTCCTCCTCCTCAAACACATGTCCCAGTGTCTTCCCTCCCTCGGAGGCGTTTCCTCCTCCACACCTCTTGGCCAGAGCCTGAAGCCTCTCGAGCACCGCCAGCTCCTCACCACCGAGGTTCCCGTTCGTCCTGTCCTCCATCAGGTCCTCCAGCACCAGGCTGCTCAGGCGAGGGGAACCGGCGGTGGCGCTCGTGGTGGGCTTAGTGGTCACTCCTCCCTGCGGCACGAGTCCAAAGTGCAACAGAACCTCGCTCAGTTCCTGTATCAGCTCGGCCTGATCCGGAAACAGGGGAAGATCCTCGGGGGCTTCGACAATGTGGTTGTCGATGTCGACGAAACACAGATTGGCCTGCAGAGGAGAAAAAGGAAATGATTTTCCACTCGACTCCTTGGTCGGGTTAAAAAGTTTAACCAATCCGATTTATCTCACGAAGATAAAGTAACTGAGCTCCAATTAGACTGCAGGGTGGAGAAACGCCATGATCACATTCTTTGTGTTTCACTACGATAAGAGCTCGCAGGGTTTTATCTCGTGGGGAGGATTGTTCAACGTTATCACAGCAACAGGAGACAAAACTAGAGCATCAGCCTCCAACAACGAGAAACCTGTGCAGGAAAAGGCGTAAACCTGCTGAGCCCATCTTCCTTCAGGATTAGGAAAAATGGTCAGTGATTTGAAGAACAGGAAAAAACTGCCTCTGTAAGCAGCAGTCAGCAGCGATGCAACCTTCAGCAGTGACCTGAAGCTGACAGCTCAGAGCTTCGGGGCACGTAGAGGAGATGAACCGTGGAGCGGACAGCCACAGAAGACGCTTTGCAGAGTCAACCCTCCAGTTTGCACTTTTTATTTTCGAGTCGTCGAAGAAGAAAAACAAGGCGCTAAAGATAGAATAGCGCTTCAAGACACATTTTTTAAATTCGGAGATAGCAAAAATATATTTATTTACTTACTAACAATAAGCTTTTGTAAATTCCCAACAATCCTTCTCATGAGATTAAAATTAAAATCTCTCATTTTCATTCATTATTCATTGAAGCCCATTGTTTTCAGATTAGTCAGCTCTGCATTTCTCTTTCATCTCCCCTCGGAGCTGTCTTACTGCTGCCGTTTTCTGGGGCAGAGCGACTTCAAAGAGCCAGATATTCATGCAGCATAAAGGATGGAGGCTTGGATTCAGATTAGGGACATCTCTTAGGAAAAAGCGGCGCGCCAGTTGGACTATCCGCAGGCAGAGGAGAGCTGAAAAGGCTCAGATTCCCAGATCTCCTTATATAACCGTTTCACTGCATTCTGAAATTTAAACCAGTAAAAATGCTTTTTTTTTTTTAACAAGGGCTTGTTACCTCATGTGGAAGGTGGATGGAGGACCTCTGCGCTCCGCCTCTGCGGTGGATTCCCAAAAGGAAAGGCACGGGGGCATCCAGGAGGTGGTGCAGTGGAGTAGAAATGATGGGCAGATAGATGTGCTGCCACTGAAATGGAAACAGCAACGTAGTGACGCCCTCTGCCACCGTCATTAAATGCTGGTAGTCTGGAGGGATGGGAGACGGGGGGAGGAAAAAAGAAAAGCATTGGAAATGAATTTATCACCTGAGAGCACCCAGAGGTTTTTATTTAGAAGTAGTCCGGGCAGCATTTTAATTACACCGCCAACATCAGCTTCTCTTCTAATGAACACTCCTGATAACATCCTGCAGAGCGTTCTGGAGAGTTCCAGCTGTTTTATTCTGCCATCAAACTATTATTGTTAGGATTTAACTTGGTATATAAGCTGGTTAAATGTTAAAATTGTCAAATTTATGTTTGAGTAATGATTATTGTCAATAAATGTATTTTTCTGGGCTTTTTTTTTTTTTTTAAAGCTCATGTTAATTGTGAGGCAGCACGGTGGCGCAACTGGTAGAGCTGCTGCCTCTCAGCGAGCAGGTCCTTGGTTCAAACCCCGGTCCAGGGGCCTTTCTGGGTGGAGTTTGCATGTTCTCTCCGTGCATGCGTGGGTTTTCTCCGGGTGCTCCGATTTCCTCCCACAGACCAAAAACATGCATGTTAGGCTGATTGGTAACTCTAAATTGTCCCTAGGTGTGAATGAGAAAGTGAATGGTTGTTTGTCTCGTTTGTCTCTATGTGTCCCTGTGATGGACTTGCGACCCATCCAGGGTGTACCCCGCCCCTCGCGCAGTGATTGCTGGACATGGGCACCGGCGACCCCCGTGACCCAAAATGGAATAAGCGAGTAAAGAAAATGGATGGATGGATGGATGGATGTTAATTGTGTTGCAATAAAAATATCCAGATGTCATGACTGAAGAGTAGTCTTGTGTTCTTTATTAGCAAATGTATAAAAAAAGATGTTATTCAAATGATAGACGTAACTTTAAAGAGCCTATATTATGAATTTTTGAAAGCTACAAGTCATATCTTTTACACTACGACACATATGTATGCTTTAAATATTAAAATCTCTAAAGAGTTGGTGCAAAACAGCAGCTTGTCTTTTGTTTGAGGCGTGACAAATTAGCTGTCAGGCAGGCGTTGCTCAAATGTGACTGTACATAAAAAGACAATAAAAGCTTTAAAGGGCAGTTCAAATCTTTTGAAGTGCAGTTCTGTTGAAAGGGCAAGAATAATTTACATCTTTCATGTTGTAGATAGACTTGCGACGCGTCCAGGGTGTACCCCACCCCTCGCACAGTGATTGTTGGACATGGGCACTGGCGACCCCCGTGACCCAAAATGGAAGAAGCGGGTAAAGATAATGGATGGATGTTGTAGGTAACTCTTTTTGGAAAAACAAGTTTAATTCTGTCTAAAGTGATGAGCTAATGGCTAGTCAGAGTAAGGCCAAGACCAAAGTGGATTGCTGCCATCTTAATTCCAACTAGAAACAAATCACAACGTTTTATGCAAAGTCATCACCTGGTTTAGATAACAGAAGATTATAGAGGGAGTGAGGAAAATGTGACTTTATTGGCGATGACCTCCTCACTGCAACATAAATAATATTCCACATTGCAAGTTTTTCTAAAATCGTGCAGCCTTAGCAGTTTTATCTACTTTTGCATTGGTGTTAGCTATATTTATATTACCATACATGGTTTTTCAAGTAGAAATATAAAATACCTGATGGAAGTACTCACGCTGCACGAGAAATGCTACAGCTAGCTGCTGCTATTGTTGTTTGTGTTTAAAAATCTAACAGATTTCAATGTAAAAAAAATAAAAATATAGTATACATTTATATAGGCCTGTCGCAATAAACAAATCAATTAATCGCATGATAAATGAAAATTATTGACCTAATTTTCATTTATCGGCTTTATTGTTTCTTCGTGTCTCTCTCTTTCTACTGAAGACACTGGATGACAAAAGGTTCACTCAGGTGTTCTTCACTGACCTCTCCCTTTCTCTTTTCTCTTTAAAAGACATTTTAACCATCCCAAATCGCGTTTTTGGATTGTTAAAAGCAGCTAAGCTGAGAAGCTAAGCTAACAGGCCGACCTCAGGAAAAAACCCTCCGTCTTGTCGAAGCTCCAAAATTCACAGTTTAAACCCGTGCCTTCGTGTAAAAAGTTGTTTTTCTCTGCAAAAAGAAGTTGAGAACTTGTTTACTGATTTTTTTATTAACAACTTTGTGTGAAAAATGCTAAAGAGCTCAAACCACACTGAGCATCCACCGTTTTGAGAACCGAAGAGAGACAGCCCATGTCACATTAAGGGGCCTCCCTCCCATTTTTCTTAAAGAGACACGCTGCTCCTCCCTCACTATCCATCCTTTGATTCAAACAGTCACATATTGTCATCCAGGGGTCAAAAAAAGGTACTACAAACAAAACAAATTAAACATTTCTTCTTAAATTTGACAATAATTACTAATTATTGTCAAATTTCAAACAATATTATCGTTTATCGCAATAATTTCTGAGACAATTAATCGCCCAGCAAAATTTGTTATCATGACAGGCCTACATTTATATATAAATATATACACCGCATATATATTATATTTGAGTTCTTTTAAGATGGAAACAGTCCTCTTTGTTCTTGGCTTTTCTGGGGCTTAGCATTAGCTCATCTATCCGCTTGTTCGTTTAAAGAGCTATGTATAACAGGTAAGAAATTAAACATTCAAAGTTTTTCTGCAGATCCACTTGAAAACATCTGAACTATTCCTTTAATGTACAAATGAGGTGTTTGAGGCAGTTCAGAAGCAACTGCTTCTCCATCTTCCTAATGAGCGGTGAGTAATGCAGCTGAGTCAGGAGCTTACCCTTAGAGTAGAGCAGGACTTGTGTCTCCAGCAGCGCACAGGTAAGAAGCTTCACCACATTGTCCACGCTCAGCAGGGAGAAGACCTCCCCAAGAGGATAGTCCCCAAGAGGAAGCTCCCCAGGCTCGGGCCGCTGGCACACGATGGGCCGCTGCACCCCATGGAACCTCAGTGACCGCCCAGGTGGAGGCAGGGGCACCTCATACAGGATGTTATAGATGTAGCTCTCCAGAGGGAGGGGCGGTGCCGTCTGTGACGTGACGGCCAGGTGAAGCTGAGCCAGAAACTGTCGAGAAGCTTGCAGGAAGGGGAGCGGCGTGATCAGGCAGAGGGCTTTGGACACATACAGGGTGTCGCGCGCCGCATCATAGGAGCTCACGCAGCCGAGGCAGCCAGAAGCCCCGGCCAGAGACTCAGCGTCCGACTCCTCCAGGCTGCTCGCGAGCGAGTCCATGCTGGAGGAGGAGGGCGAGGAAGCAGAGGAAGATGAGGAGGAAGAAGGCGAGGAGGAGGAGGATGAAGAGGAGTGGTGTTCCACGTGGTGCATTTGATGGAGCGTCTGCATGGCAGTGATAATCTGAGCACTGGTCACCTCCTCGTAGAAGGTGTGAACGAAGCCGTAGGAGCGCGTTCCGTCGTCAGAGGTGACCGTAAACGAGTGGAACCGAGAGTCCAGCCGGTCTGCTTGGGTGCCGAAGGAGAGACCTCGGGGCATGCAGAGCTGGAAGGAGCAGCAGAGAAACGCCAGAATTAAGTGGGAATACAAAGTTGACCATTAATGGCGAGCTCTAATACTTCTCAAACGGGCTTCGTTACACTGAAGTCAGAATGAAACGCACATCCCTTCCCTGTCCCTTCAGACACTTTATGATGTGCTTTCAACTTAATGCGTCTTTCTGTACCTTCTAATTGGTTTTAAGGCTGTCGTAGTGTCTGAGCTGCCACAGAAAGAACAAGTTTGTGCAAAAATAACTATTTCTGAATGTTACACCGAGTCCAACTTTGTTCTTAACTCATCGTTAACACATTTTAGTCCTTGGTTTTTCGTTCTGTATGACAGTGGATGTCTGGTTTTTTTTTGTTGTTGATGTTTTTAAAACGTGCATTTTAAGTCAACTTGACACAAACTAAAACTTATTTTTGTAAAATTAATACTTCGAATATCAGACTACAGACAATGTTGTTCCAAATGTCTGAACACTGTTGAAAAAGAGTTGTAAACCTAAAAAAAAAAAAAACAAGTCAAACTAAACGTAAAAATCCAAGAGTGTTTTCAGCATTAGCTTATTGATATTGTGTAAAATATTCGTTATACCTCAGAACAAACAAAAAAATGATTCCAGGATAAAATGAATAAATAATAATCATTAGAAATGTAATACTATGATTCAAGTAAAGTAAATATTAGTTGTCTAAGGAAAATCAAATGTAAAAAAAAAAACATTGAATTTGTTCTGATTTAAAACTCTTTTTTTCATCATCATCATCATCAGGACCAGATTTTTTTTTTAATCTGTAAAATATAAACATACTTCAGACTAAAACAAAACATAATATTAATAAAGTTTCAACAGGAGCAACAACACAGACGACCACCAGCTGCATTTATTTCTTCTTAATTCTGCTTCCTTAACAAATTATCTGCAGATTATTTAAACTTCTAATTGGAATTAAGATAAAAATAAGTGGAATCAGAATCAACAAAACAGAGGATTAAAAAAAAAAATGCAACTTGAGATTTCATAATCTCTGGAAACAGGTCTCTCTTGCAAATGAGTCCTTGAGGCTCAATGAGACTAACCTGTATAAATAAAGTTTGAATGAAAAAGAAAAGGTTCAATTAAAAAAAATAGTTTCTTAATAGATGCACTTAATTAATTGCATTTATATTATAATAAAACAAATAAATGTAAATTTTCTATGAAAGTCACAAATCCACTTTCATACTTGAGTGAATAAAAAAAAAAAAAAATCAAAGCAAAAATAAAAACACTTTTTGTCTACATATAAGTTTGTTCAAAGCCTTGATGTGTCGCCCAACATCTCACCATGTTGACAGCTTCTTTGTTGAAGGGGTTCTTGTCTGTGTTTTCTGGGTAATGCACCAGAACTTTGGACTTGAAGGACCGATGGAGGGGGCTCTGCTCGAAACTCTCACCTGGAAGTCAAACAGAGAGGGTTGTTGTGTCACCACAGTTTTTTTTGTTTTAACGTCAATTGGAGCTGAATCAGATTTCAATAGAGAGGGAGGTCAGCTGCTCTCAGTAACGCAGACAGGACCTCCTCGTCTGTCGCAGACCGACGATCATTTCTCGTTGGCAGCGAGGACAGTGCTGCTGTTATGAGGAGGAACGAGCCTGGCGAAGGTTATATAACTCGACTCGTTACCATAAAGACAAACAGCTCCTCTCTGACACGCTGCAGCAAAACGTCCATGTGCATCACCTCAAGGTGAAAAAGAAGAACTGAATTTGCAATTCTCAGAAGAGATCTCATATATTTTATCTAAACTCCTAAAAAAACAAACCCAGTTCACGGATGCACCACAACAACCGCAGCCTCCAGAGCACGAGAGGATTAAAGCGCTGCAACGCATTTAAAATGGGACTCGGAGGCCATAATCAGCTCACGCACTTCAATTATTCATCCACATTTTGAGCCGATTAGCCCTAACATTGCTCGATTCCTTTTTCTCCGTTCGACGTCATGGATGCTCAGATTCAGTGAGATTGAAGAGCAAAATCCACAACAAATTAAAACCCAACAGCCTCCTGTTGACAGGAAGCTCTGATGCAACTGAAGGAACCTACAAGATGACGCACACGACCCCGAGCCAGAAAGGAGCATCGCTTCAAGTTAAACTGAGTCACTCTGGTGGGTGGAAGGCAGCCGGCGCTGAAAGGTGGGAGTCTTTGCAAGGGATACAGATTGGAGCTGGCGCTGACTGAGAGGCCGAATCAAGACACCGAGTTGCCATGGCACCCGTTTCTGCCGTGGCCTCACAGACAGCCATTAAAACTACGCTTTTGTGCTCGTCATCGGTTATGTCATCTCCGATTACATCAGCTGGAACAATTAAAATACCACCCTGCTCCCGATACGAGCTCCCAGCAGAGATGTGGCGCAAAAAAGACACGGCTAAATGTTTGTACTGAGCGACGGAGCAAGGGAGGTGGAGGGAGGTTTGTTTTAGAAACAGAAATGTCTGTTTCAGTTAGCCTGTAATCACCAGCTATTAGCCCACTAACACACACTCAGTGCACGTTATTGCATCAATTATAACAGAGCATGTCAGAAAACTGCAACAAAAAAATGCAACTTTTTTTTTTTTTTAATAGCCTGCTGACAAAGGTGAATTAAAATGTTTTAACCTGTATCTGTTAGCAAAATATCTCACGAATCACTGGACACATTTGAACGAAACTAGCAGAACACAATCACCGAATGTACATCTACAACTGATTAGTCAGCCCAGTTCAAAATGGCTGCCAGAGCCAACTGGTCTTAGAAAACCAAAAACAGACTACACCTCAGTCAGGTTGTCAGATTTTGATCTGAGCATTAGCGTTGCTGAGACGGATTCTCTGCACACATTCTCAGCACTAACAGGTTGTGCACAATCTGTGCTTAAATTATGCAACTGACTAATCAGAGTCAATTCTGTTTGGCTGTTGGCAAATAAATTCACAAACCAGTGGAAAGATTTAAATGAATCGTTCACCAAATAATCAATCGATGCACGGCTTCCACTGATTAACTTTTAGAGTCAACCGCGTTCAAGATGGCCACCGCCGCTAACCAACATTGGGAAACACAAAAATGGCTATAATTTAGTTATTTTTACAGACGCTGAACTAAAATTTGATGTGGTAGTAGCTGAGACTCATTCACAACTGATACTTGGAGCAAGACTTCTCCCAATATTGTGATTTTTTTTTTTTTTTTACAGTTTGACCAAAAACAGCTGTACCTCTGTCTTTTCTCATCGTAAGACGACCTTAGTCTCAAACGCTGCCATGGAAGGTGACGGGCGAATGTTGGCCTTTACAGCTTTAATTCTCAGAATATGGCCGCCCTCGTTGCTGGACATTTTAGCGTTAAATTCTGTGTTTCATACTCTTCCCACAGATTAGACCATCCATCTCTGGGATTTATAGCCTCGAGTTGGCCTCCGTCCCCGAAACAGGACCATTCTCAGTGTGAGCAGCCATGAAAGTGGGCATCACTCTCACTCTCAGGCTGAACTGTCCCATTCATCACATCGTTACACTGGTAGAGGAGGGCAGACCTGAAAGAAGATGGCAATGACTGATGGCTACTTCATCAACAAAATATAACTTTTTTTGGCCATTGAAGTTGGATTAGTAAAATTAAAGTTTGAAAACCTACAGGATCAAGTCTTAAAATATAATTAACTTAAGCTTGACTTTTAATCTATCTATGTATCGATGAGTGCATCTCTAGCTCATGGAATGAATGAATCAAGTTGTTGCTTAGGGTCCCCAAGAGCATTTGAATAGTCCCGTAAAAACTGAAACAAAGTTTAATCTAGATTAGTTGTAATCAGATTATAACAGAGTGTGTTGGGGATGACTTTCAGCTACAACATCACATTTTAGCTCATTATCTATAAGAGTGACTGAGCTGTAGGCATGTTTTGTTTTTGTTATGTTTCATTAGCTGTAGCAGCCATCTTGAGTCATGTTGACCCCCCAAGTTAGTTGGTTTTAGACGTGTTAGATCCAGTGATTACCTTCTGAAAGTTCCAATTAAATCCATCCTGTGGTTCATGATATTTTGCTAACAACCAGACACAAAGAATGTGTTGGGGACGACTCTCAGCTACTACCACCTCAGTTATTAGCTCAGTGTTTGTAAAATGAACTGAGCTTATAGGCATTTCTGGGTTTGCCAAGTTGGTTGGCTGTGGTGGCCATTTTGAAAAGAGTTGTCTCCAAAAGTTAATCAGCACATGCAATGATTACTATTCATTCAAAACTGGTCAGAGGTTTACAAAATATTTTGCTAACATGACAGAAAGGTATTTATTTATTAACATTTATTTCGCCAGGCAATCCCATTGAAATCCCTGATCTCTTTTTCAAGGAAGGCCTGGTTCTGAAGGCAGTCAAACATGCGTGTTTTGGACTGTGGAAGGAAACCGGAGTACCTGGAGAAATAAACACGAGAACATGCAAACCGCACACAGAAAGACCCCAGGTCTTTCTCCAGTTTTAGTTGCTCTCTACTGGCTCACTGTCAAATTCAGAAGATAATTCAACATTTTACTTCTAACATACAAAGCTCTCAACAACCTAGCTCCATCTCATATTACAGATCTTTTTGTTCCATATTTTCCTAACAGAACACTTGGCTCTCAGACGTCAGGTTTACTTATGGTTCCTAGAGTTTCCAAACGCAGAATAGGAGGCAGATCTTTCAGTTATCAGGCTCCTCTCTTGTGGAACCAACTTCCAGTTTCTGTCCATGAGGCTGACACATTGTCCAGTTTTAAAACTGGGCTCAAGTCTCTCCTTTTTGATAAATCCTATAGTTGGCGTGGGCTTGGGTTTCCTGACCTATCCTTTAGTTATGCTGCTATAGGCTTAGACTACTGGAGGACAAATTGACCTCATTTCATCATATTAATAGTTACAGATGAATAGTTTGCATTTGTAATTGTTTCTATCGTAACGTGTTTTTTAAATTTATTTATTTGCCAGTGTGTGTATACACACACACACACACACATATATATATATATATATATATATAGAGAGCGAGAGAGAGAGAGAGAGAGAGAGAGAGAGAGAGAGAGAGAGAGAGAGATGTATTCGCCTCCATTCTGTGTCCATTTCTCCTTCCTGTCCTCTCAAACCCAGCCGGTCGTAGCAGATGGCCGCTTGTCCTGAGCCTGGTTCTGCTGGAAGTTTCTTCCTGTTACGAGGGGTTTTTCCTTTCCACTGTTGCCTTTGTGCTAGCTCAGGATGGGAGACTGCAACGAAATGAAGACTCAACGCAATCTGTTGGTTTCCTTCCTTAGATAGATAACTTTACTAATTGGCATTTATAATGTATGTGAATGTTTTTGTTTAGTGCCCCGAGATAACTTCTGTTGTGACTTGGCGCTCTATAAATGAATTGAAGTGAAATTCAATTGAAATTGTCCAAACCAGGGCTTGAACCCAGGACCATCTCACTCTGAGGCAACACTGCTAACCAACAACCGATCGTACGACTCATTTTTTCTTCTGAGGCTGGGGATGATAAATCAGGAACAATATACAAAATTGCTCAAAGTATTATAGCAGTGGGTGAATGGACAAATGTCTTGAATAAAAAAACAACCCCCCCTCCAAAAAAAAAAAAAAGTGAAATTCTGCTTAGAGCCCCATCTAACGTTGGGCCAGCCCTGAACGAGTGCATGCAACTCTGTGCAGTTGGCTTTACATTATAAAGCAGATCTGTTCTGATGTCACACAACCCCCACCCTGTGATCGCCATCAGGCCTGCAGCCTCGGACGTTCAGCATTCCAACAGGCAGACTCATGTGAAACTTGATTAGGCTGCAGAAAACACTGTGCCATCCATTGAGAAGCCAACAAGAGCAGATTGTCTCTTGGTGGGCTTTCACTAATTACACCATCGCACAACAACAGATGCCACGTTACCTCATCTTCGCCTGGGTAATGCCAGGGTTTTTTAATTCTGCATGACTTGTTTGATTCAGAATATGTGCACAGAGAGGTGAAAACACACACAAAAACCCCTTAAAAGGAGCAGAGCCCCCGCTGCCAGCACTGTGGATCTAAGTTAAGTAGCAGCTCAGATGACATGGTCACTCACAGCTGCAGGAGGGGAGCACATATCAACTAAACGGTTAGTTTGAGCTCTGAAAACTCATCAGCGCAGCTCTGAACTCACACATCACATAAAGCTCGACCTAACTGAGCCGTTTTATTAATTAGCTGTGCTATACGTCAAAGCACGGCCGCCTCCCCTCCCGTGAGGAGCAGCTTCTAACAGTGCATGGGGACATGAGGAGGACAGGGTGTGACTATTGTCTGCTGCTCCAGAACCTGGAAGTGACGTTCAACACACTCCAGTGGTTCTGTTTCCTCTCAGAGAGACACAAGCAGACACAGCCTCTGCAAAAATAAAAAATAAAGAAAGAAATATAAAAGGTCCTCAAATAAAATATCGCCACCAACCACAAATAAACCCTGCTGTCATTACATCCATACACCAATAATTTCCTCTGACCTCCTTTTGCCACTGCTTTTGTTCCTCTCAGACGCCAGAATTACACATTCTCATCTGCCTCGAGACAAAGGAGCCACGGCACCAGATTATTTTCTGCCTTTTGTGACTCTGGGAACAGAGAGATCTCCCTCTCTCCAGCTGTGTTCCAGCTTTAATGGGCAGAACAGGATGTTGTTGTTTTCCATTTCAGCTCCCGTCCTCCGTCGTCGTGTTCCTGATCCAGAACCGCAGAAAAACAGACACAACTGACCGTCTACAAAACAATAAAAAATACAGGGAGTGGACGTGTTTTTCTCAAGCAGAGGTCACACAAAAGGACCAGATAGTAGGTAAACAGGGTGTAAATGTCATTTTAAATCCAGCAAACAGGCTTCAGATCTAACTAAATATGTTTTTTTTTTTGTCATTTCTGTCATACCTTAATTTTTAAAGATGCTATAAAATAGGTGCAATCAAACTGTGTGGTTGTTGCATAAATCTGGACATATTTTCTTGCCCAAATGGGTCATCTGCCAGAAAACAAAAATAATTTCTATACAAATGTCTCACCAACACTAACCACCCTTTATAAACCTGATAAATCTGTTACATAAACATGATGTCAGTGTCTGTGCTCTTTTTTTAAATGTTTTTTCCTGGTTATTTACCCGCTCCATCGTCCAGCTCCAGGCCCGTCTCCGTGTCCACTCCACACACCACAAAATAATGGGCGAAGCGGCAAGAAGCCGACGGTCCTCCGGCGGCTCCGGTCATCCTGGAGGCGGGGATGGTGCGACCGCTGCCCGGCTACTGGGGCTCGGAGCTCCGGGGTCTCATGGCGGAGGGTCCGATCCGTGCTGCCTGATCCAGCTGATCCCACAGTCTGAGTGAGAAGGAGGATCCGACCGTGGTCATCAGAGGGAGGAGGCTGGGAGGGAGGGAGGAGAGAGGAGGGGGCAGACAAAAGACTGAAGGGGACTTCGCCCAGTAAAATCTGAGTCACGGTTCAAAAGCGAAGATACTGGATGTAAAATCAAGCTGGAGGAGGTGCAATGCAAGATTTTTTGACAAGTTCAAGAAAAAAAAAACCGTTTAAAATTATAATTAGTCCCCACTAAACATTAGTGTCGAATGGATGTGCAGATCACGTTTATATTGAGTCCGTCGGTCTAGACCAATTCTGCACGTCTAATTTTGGTCCCTTGCAGGTGCAGACTGTAACTCCAGATGACGTCTTTTTCCGACGTCAACTGGACGGTCAATATAGACGTATTTTCTACATCAAAATTTAACTTATTTTATTCACTTCAGATAAAAATATAATTAGTAAGTGCTTCCTGTTGTCTTCATTGCATGTTCCCATGCAGTGTTTAACACATTCACCCTCAGATGGATGTTGGAATGACTGGGGATTGACCGTCGGATTTAAAGTCAGCTGCTCCCCACTGAGCAAGACGTCTAAACAACGTCTTTTTTAAGTCGTTTCTGCACGTCTAAATTGGGTCCCTAGGAGGTGCAGACTGTGACGCCAGAAGACGTCTTTTTCCGACGTCTAAAAGACGTCTATCTGACATGTTAATATGGACGTCTTTTCCCCCCGACGTCTAAAAGACGTCTATCTGACATGTTAATATAGACGTCTTTTCCCCCGACGTCTAAAAGACGTCTATCCGACATGTTAATATAGACGTCTTTTTTCGACGTCTATCTGACGTCTGACCCGACGTCTAAAAGACGTCTATCTGACATGTTAATATGGACGTCTTTTCCCCGACGTCTAAAAGACGTCTATCAGACATGTTAATATAGACGTATTTTTCCCCGACGTCTAAAAGACGTCTATCAGACATGTTAATATAGACGTATTTTTCCCCGGCGTCTAAAAGACGTCTATCTGACATGTTAATAT